TGCACGCGGAATGTTGCGAGACTTTCGGAAAGCGTGAAAATACACGAGTCGTAGGCGAGTGTATTTTTACGCTTTCCGAAAGTCGAGCAACATCTCAAGTGCATGGATCATGCTATCCTGTACGGGAAGCCATTTGGTAATTGTTTTATAAAATTACTACAGTGAAACGACGCTTAACTTGATTAAAATTACTGATGAAATGTGCAGTTCTCACAACATTCGTGAATTAACCAATCAGAGAATCGCTTCTCCACGCTATTGAAAACAACAACATATGTGAACAGAATTTGATCGCAAATTCGCGAAATATACAGCGAAAATACAGGGACATTTTCGATAAAATATACGAAATTTGAAATGGAAAACCCGCTAAACAGAGAGCCAAAGTAGTTTTCAAGATTCTCGACCTGAATATGTGAAGATTGCGAAGCGTTTGATCAACTTTGAAGCGAGAGATGTTGTACTTGCATGCCATGGTCTGATGAATTTCAACGCTACGCGTTGCTACTTGCTGAACAGCAATGTATCGATCAGAAATTTATTCATACAACTAAACCAACGACTCAATAATTGCAAACTTACTTCAAAGTCGAAAGGTATGGTACAATGAAACTTTACAATGTGAGTATATTTGTAAAATTTGTGCAAGAATTTCTGTTCTGGATTGTCTGATCCTGCACGGCTGTTGACCAATCAAATTGCGTGTTTTACTGTAGTTATTATATAATGTTTTTTCTGGAACGTGTTCAATAAAAAAGGAATACCGAATGGTTTTCCGTGCAGGATTGCGTGGTCCATGCACGAGGGATGTCGCGAGACTTTCGGAAAGCGTAAAAATACTCGAGCCGCAGGCGAGCAACATCCCAATTGCATGGATCACGCTATCCTGCTTGGAAAACCATTTGATAATTGTTTTATAGAATATCTGCAGTGAAACTATGACATTTTGAGAATCCCGCGAAGGCATTTTAATTCCTCGTGCAGGATAGCCTGATTCTGCACGGCTATTGACCAATCAAATTGCGTGTTTCACTGTAGTTTTATATACCCGGCATTCTTTTCGTGAGAATTTTGTTTGGAGATAATTTAGGTTCCAAAGGCAAAGAATAATCAATCATAAGCAAACAGTAAGTTAGAACGACGCTTAGCAGTTTTAACGCCAACATTTTGTTATGAACCGAAGCGAAACACGTGTATATATATGCACTGTGTCTGAAGTGATATGGAGTTTCAACCGTTATTTGAAACCGAGTGTGACACCTTGGATGTTAGGCTCCGAATTTTAAATAAAGTGGTCAAATGCGACTAAAAACTCTTGACATTATTGCACAGCGTCATGAAGGTTGAGACCTGTTGTTTGTAAAAGCTAGTCGCTGGTTGGAAATGGCCTCTATAATTTTGAAACACACAAATCAGACATATGATATTTTCTGGACTACGCAAAGAAAAGTGCTATCTGCGCTATGAAAAATTATTGGGGGGGGGGAGGGGGCTAAAGCTCCCC